GAAAAAATGGAAATATGAAGGTCCATCCCTAAAACTAACCCTAAGCAGATCATATGAAAACGTACGAATGAGATGATTGTATGAATTAGCAGCCAATTCAACAAAGAGTAAAATACCTACAAATTGCCATGAGAGTGTGTTGGATGTGAACCAAAGACACTTCCTTCCAAAGATATCTCACTTTACTAAAAACCACTGCAGACTTCCACCAACACCATAACCAAAAGCACAAACACTGAGATGGTTGAGGTCTCAGCACATATATAACATGTATATGTATGTATGCATATAATATGTAAAACAAAACAAAAATAATAATATGGCGTCCTAATAGACCTTAATCAGGTTAGACACCATACTGAACTTAACACAGAAGAAAACATGGCTGTGAGGAATAAACGTCTTTACAATGGCACACACTGTATAACAGATCACATAGCCTAATGTTCACAACTTTTAAAACTGTTTTATGGAGTTTTTGTCTACTGATTTTTTTTTTCAGAAGATGTTTTGTCAGTTGAACAATGATATGTTGTTGAATGCACTGTACTTATATCCCTCACAGCCTGGTTTTCATTCCTGTCAGAAATTAACTAAGGTCTAGAGAACCCAATTTCAAAGGAGGACCTGGTTTGTCACGACACAAACACATTTTATAACATGGACTAATTCCTGTTATAGCGTCCCTTGCAGTAGCGCTGAGAATGCAGCTCATACTTGCGGTGATTAATGAATTGACACATTTAATGACTTTTAATGAGGTTAATAGTTCCAGGATTAAGCTCACCTCAAACTAAATAGGCCAAAATGAGATTTTGAATTAGCATAGAGTAGCATGAACATCGAGTAGGTCCATTTTGGGGGGATATGCAAGACATTATAGAAGGTGTTTTGGTTAAGGTTCTGCCTTTGTTTCACAGAACTAATCGTTGCCTGGGTTGCGTACGTATATGTGGGGCGGAGCTATCAAAATAGGGGCAAGACCCTTTTGGGGTAGGAGCGTGTTTGTTTTGGTGATTTCAAGTATCAACATTGGCTACCAGAAATCGCTTACTCTGCCTTTAAGGTTTCTGAGAGTCCACATGGATTGACTTATGCTTTGTTTAAGCTCTAAAGCAGCCACAAACGCTAGAGGGAAAAGAGGTTTTGTTTGCACCTATAGCACACATTTGAGAATGCAGACACACACTGGTATGAACATTTGGTTTTGAGATTTTAAATTGTACTTTTATGGCCTTTCTTGCAGCTGCTGAAGTGTTATAAATTACATAGACATACACACACATTTCTTTATGGGCCTGTATTCTGTTTCCCTTCTTTGTGCCAAACTTGAGCACTCATTCACATACAGCCATAATGTGATGATCACCTGGTACACAGGTTCCTCACAGCTGTTCGCTTTTAGCTGAAATGATTCTTTGACATTCAAATATGTCTGTTATGAGTTTGTGTTATGACTTGAGAATGTCTGTTTTGAGCTTTGCCTTTGTTAGTAGTGTTATGCAAGCAGTATTGCTTCGCTACCACTTTCTCTCTATTACTTTCTCCCCTTTTATTCATCTATTTCATGTCATCACAGTCAGTGGGAAGCAAAGAGTTCATTGTTCCCTTCTTTTTAGTCAAAGCAACAGAATCGTATCTGCTTCTGCAGTGTTTGTGTGAGGGGATGAGAGCAAGAGGAAGAGAAAAAAGATGTGAGAGAGCAAGACAAGCAGGAAGGAGCACAGAATATCTTTATTATAAGGTAAAAGCTATCACTCAGTATAAAATAGCCTATGCAAAGTTAATGATTCTCTGTTTTTAGAAATGTTTCTATTGCTTCATTAGCATGACAAAAATGTTGTATTTGTATAATTAAAAAGTTGACTGGAGACTGTATTATTAAAAAGCAAGACAACCATGAAGTTTAATGAAATGTAATCATGTTTCATTTGTGCCAGTAGATGCTTGCGCCATTATTTCGCTCCATTTTATGATCTTTAAATTAATTTAATAAATAATCAATACATTAATAAAAATACTTGTATTTAATATTTTGTCATGTATTTTTCTGTCTATTTCTTTCTTTTGCATATGTCAGTCATGTCTTAAATATATTATAGACTATGTTCAAGAAAAGCTTTAATAAGTAATATCTATTAGTGACCATGTACACATTTTTAATAGATATGTATGTAAGGGTTCTTGAAGTGATCCAAGGTGTATATTTATTTATTATTGATTGATTGATTGCCAGTTCATACATTCTTCCTCATGACAGGTTATGTTTGACAAGCAAACAACCAGCAGTCAGAGTAACTCGACAGACATGGTAACCTCAAGCTTTATGCATCAGTTATTGAGACACATCCCTGATGCTGTAGCAATGTAACAGTATGATGCTTTGAAGTTCTAGCTGGTCTCGAAAATGTTGTTTGCACGTTAATAACTCCTGCTTTTTGAGTAGTACACATTAAATGCCTTTGAAATGACAGGAGATCACTTCCTTTGTTGTTTCCCTACATCTCACAGTTTTCACGTTTTTTTCTATTGATGTTTTTTCTATAAATAGTGCTATCTATATGGCAAGTGAAATCACAAGAAGTTGAAGGACACCCAGAGGTATAAAAAGAAAATCTCACTAAAAAACATTTTTAAACTGCATGTACACATTCCCGCTGTTTGTGTGCTCATAAAGTGAATGAAAAGAAAATTACATAGTATCGTTCTGTATGTCTACGGACGCCACAATTTTAGCACCCGTGTAAACAATGTGTTGATGAATAGTTATGTACAGATCTGAATAAAGACATCACAGTGCATGAGGGAGCAGAGATGTCAGAAGATCTTTCATTGAGGAGCTGGATATTTAGTTCAAAGGGCACACTGCACTTATGTTCTGTTGCTATGGTAACACAGTAATGGAGAGTGTTTACATTATTCAAAGCTATAATGTGTATCTCATTAAGAAATGAGGTACATGTATCACCATTCACCCAGAAGAGTGTGTGCTCTTACCCACACACAAAGGAGGACTCACCCACACACTTAGGAGTAAAGAGAAGAGTTTGAGGGCCTTTTAGTACAAGTATCCTGTATAATATAAACACTGGCTAGTAGAAAGTTTGCAGCATCTTAAACTGTTTTAGAATGCATGGGCTGAAAACTGAGATGACAGCCATAAGTATTAAGGAGGCTGGGGCTAGTTGTCACACAGAGGTAGTTGTCTAATCTATATCAGTAACTAAGGTTTTCAGTCAAAAGTCAAATTACATAAATGTATGTCCTTTCTAGCTGTGATGTTGTTTTCACATATGTGGCCCTGGACCACAAAACCATATTTGTAGCAATAGCCAACAATACATTGTATGGGTCAAAATTATCGATTTTTCTTTTTTGCCAAAAATCATTAGGATATTAAGTAAAGATCATGTTCCATGAATATATTTTGTAAATTTCCTGTAAATAATATATCAAAACTTAATTTTTGATTATAATATGCATTGCTAAGAACTTAATTTGGACAAATTTTAAAAAGTATTTAGATTTTTTTGCACCCTCAGGTTCCAGATTTTCAAATAGCTGTATCTCGGCCAAATATTGTCCTATCCTAACAAACCATACATCAATGTAAATCTTATTTATTCAGCTTTGAAGTGCATAGCTTATTTATACAGCTTCTCAGCAGATGATATATAAATCTAAATTTAAAAATATTTCCCCTTATGACTGGTTTTGTGGTCCATGGTCACATATTTAGTTTAATGCTGTCTTAAATTATTTTATATCAATACAATTCAATAAATTCTAGCATATTTTACAATAACTCTTGAATGAATTAATAAACACCTTTATTGTTTGTATTTGTCCAACAGTACAAACAAAATTTGTTTAGTCTCCCATTCTAAAAAAAGGGGCACACAACCACGTACATTTAAAAATTGCACAAATCCTATAAAACATACACTCTTTAAAATAAAGGTGCTTAAAAGGTTCTTCACAGCGATGCCATAAGAACCATTTTTGGTTCCACAAAGAACCATTCAGTCAAAGGTTCTTTAAAGAACTATCTCTTTCTTACCTTTTCATAATTTGAGGAACCTTCTTTCGCCACAAAGAACCTTTTGTGAAACAGAAAGGTTCTTCAGATGTTAAAGGTTCTTTATGGAACCATTTAGACAAAAAGGTTCTTCTATGGCATCGTGAAGCACCTTTATTTTTAAGAGCGTATGAACAAAGTGCAAATACTAAATACACAAATCCTTGCTTGGATAAGTGAACACAATAGATTCAGACATTCAAGAATCAACTATATAATGAAGGAAGATTTAAAAAAAAAAAAATTATTTCGTAAAATTACAATAAATATAAATATTTAAACATTTAACCAAATTGTAATAACCTATTTTATGTAAGTAGTGTTACATTTATTTATAAAAATATAATACATTATATTTGCATAAATGTAAATTAAAATATTTGTTGTACTGTACAAAACTGTTTTTGTTTTGCATTTTTGTTCTGGGATTATTTTTTTATTTTTTTGTGCTTCATAATTGTTTTGTTTACTTTTTTCTGGGTATTAATGATTTTTGTTGCTTTTTGTAGGCAGCACCTCAAGGTATTTGTCTAGCTATATAGAAAAGTACTTAAAATATTATTAAACAAATAATAAAAAATACAATCTGTGACAAGTTAACCCAGCATTCTCTTACATTTATTTTCAGCCCCATTTGAAAAAAAAAAACTTCGTGTGTCATCGTTTCCAAGTACACCAAATACACCAAATAATGTTCTTTTTAGCAGCATCATATGACCCCTTTAATTTAATAGATATTTTTCCCAATTCCAACTCTCTGTGGCCCGTTGACTTTCAGAGATTCACTTAATAATGTTAGGATGGTGAGAAACTGTTCCAAACTGCTCCCCCCCCCACCCCCCACAGCACCGCTGGTATCAATCCACAGCAGCGCGTAAACAAGCGCGAGTGAGTCCCCCGCCCCTTCTCTGCGCGAGCTGCTGCCAGTTCCGTGTCTGCAGCGAGTTTACCAGCCACGCACCGCCTGCACGCGCTCAATCCGCCGCCGGGCTGTAACGAACTGACTCTCTCTGGCTTTCGGAAAGCCCTGTTTTCAGTCTCCATTAACGGCCCAGCACAGAACGAGGCGAGACGATTCGTAACGGTGAGTGTATTTCGGATGGCTACGGAACGTGGGAATCTGCGCTACGTTATCGGTTTGGGGGCACCGAATGTGTGTAAAGTTTGGGGAGGGGAGAAATTGTGTCATGTGGTACAGCAGAGGCTGCGTGCCCGTCAGTCCGCTCTGGTGGAGCGGATAGATACATAATTACAGAATATAAAAACGACGTCGAGAGACGAGCTCAACTTGCCATGTGTTATAATTTCCATGGGGATGACGTCACGCAGTCCTTGACGCTAGCGCTGATGAGATAACGGGACTGTGACACAATGCGCGTTTCGTATGCACACTAAAAGCTACATAGGAACAGGTAATTGGTTTATAATGCCTTTTAAAGGGACGTTCACAGTCCATTCTCCTGTTATTAATTACGTAGTAGCCTGTGAGTTGCTGTTCTCCTCTTATATATATATATGTATTACATAAAAGGCAGAGAGCATCGCAAGGACGTCGTCATGAGAAATGATTGACCGATGACGTTGTTTTTCTGAAATACTGTTACAGTGCATGCACGTGTAAATCTGTTTAAAAGTTTAACCCTAAGAGAACCATTTACATATATGATTTATGTTCTCTTTTTCTTGTTGAAAGTGCTTTTAGAAAGCTTTTAGTTATAATAAGCATTATTTTTTATTTTATTTTTTGTTTTCTGGTGGATTTGGATATTGCATAAATGTTGGACTTTCACAACTGTTTACTATCATAGGCAGGTTGTGACGACTTGCATAGTATCGTGCTATTGGGGCATGTTGTCACAAAAAGGTCAGTGTGTTCAAAGACATACATTAATGTCAGAGCAGATCCTAGGATATTCGTACACCTTGCACACATTCTGTCAAGTACCTTTTTATGTTTGCATATTTAGAGGCCTGTACTGATGTTCCAAACAATTTGGAGTAGTTTATCTATGATTTGCCATTTTTTTCAGTGGTTAAACAGAGAATTAAGGAAATAAATACTTACTCGAAAAAAGGCTAAATTTGTTCCAAAACTGTTAGCAATTGTGTTAGTAGGTAGTGCATATTGTGATATATATATAGGACTGGGCGATATGGCCAAAATTATTATCACAATAATATCAGTCGATATCGATAATTATCACGATAAATGTCAAATCTTTATTTCTTTCAAGTTTAAAGCCAGATTTTTGCTCCAAAGTGAAAGTTGTAGAAACCAGACCATTAAAGGGGTCATATGATGCGATTTAAATTTTTCCTTTCACTTTGGAGTGTTACAAGCTCTTGGTGCATAAAGAAGATCTGTAAAGTTGCAAAGACTAAAGTCTCAAATCCAAAGAGATATTCTTTATAAAAGTTAAGAGTCAACCACGCCTACCTAAAACAGCACGTTCTAACACGTCACGATGTGGGAAGATTTGCATAACACCACCCAAATGTTCACGCAAAGAAAGAAAGCATAACTTTTATTCTCGCTGTAGTATTATTGTTGATAAAAGTAATGCTTGTTACATACTATTGACCCAGTACTGACACATATTATTTATTAGGTGGTTGGCTTTGTTTATTAATTTTTGTTTCTTTGCACAGCACACCTTGCTTTTCAGACTGATGAGCTTTGTAAAAATCGACGCGTTTCAAAAAGGCGGGGCATAGAGGAGAAACAATAATGTACAGTATGTGGAAAATAATGTGTTTTTTGAACCTTAAACCGCATAAAAACATTTCATTACACTAAATACACAAAATAATGTTCTTTTTAGCAACATCATATGACCCCTTTAATAATGCGTGATATTGTTTCAAATCAAGAAACAGGTTTGAGTTGCCTGATAATATTAAAGGGTTAGTTCACCCAAAAATGAAAATTCTGTCATTAATTACTCACCCTCGTGTTGTTTGAAACCCGTAAGACCTCCTTTCATCTTCGGAACACAATTTAAGATATTTTTGATGAAATATGAGAGCTCTCTGACCCTCCAATAGACAGCAAAGTAACTACCATGTTCAAGGTCCAGAAAAGTACCAAGATGATTGACAAAGTAGTCCGTGTGACATCAGTGGTTCAACTGTAAAGTTGCGAAGCTACGAGAATACTTTTTTGCGCAAAGAAATCAAAAATAATGACTTCATTCCACATTTTCGTATGTCACCACATTAGAATCGTTAGAAGGCAGAATCGCGATTCATATATGAATAGATTTTTACGTGCACCTAGTTTTCTCTTCCTTTTCTCTAAAGCAGCGCAGCATGGCGTCGCCCCCTTTGCTGCCTTTTCCCAGGGGCAGGGTTTATCTGGGTTTGTTACGTCATGTACCCGGGAAGTAACTCGTTGTAGTCCCTACCAGCCGTTTTTGTAGGCATTAAACTGCCAGAATTTTAAAAGACTATATCTCCGTTTGCATTGAACTTTCAGCTTCGTAACTTTGCAGATATTGTTTATGCTCAAACAGCAACATTACACACTAACTAACATTAAAAAAGTGAAATCGCAATCAACCACCCATTTAATGCTTGCGTGACTGAGTAAACGCATTTGTTCTCAATTTGCTCTCAATTGGTGCACAAGATGGCGCCGCGAGTGTGTGCATACTTACTTCCGGTCTTGCGACGTTTGCATTTACTGTAAGGGGAAACTTCATACGAAACTTGGCAAGATAGAAATAATTGATATTTTTCAGATTAAAAAGCGGATAGCGGTATATCACAGACAAGAGAAAACATCATCCCTACATTATTGCGTACCTCTGTGTGGAAATTCATCAAGATACAACGCGGAGATTGCTTCATTTTTTCTTCTGCTGATTATGCGGTTGAGCATCAGTGGTTAGTCAGTCTACTGGGATCTCTTCATTCAAACACAACCACTCAAACGTGCAATACTGTACATATTCGGAGAGTTGATTTTGTTCTGACTGCTACTTATAAGATCATAAGGTTTGCGACTGTCAAACGACACTCAGAGATTTCTGCATGCATGTTTTATTAACTATTTGATAACATAATTTATAAGTAACTACAATTTAAAGGGGTCATATGATGCGATGGTAGGTTGGCATTAATTAAAAGATCGGTGTTTGCATTACCTGTGTGTTTTTATTAATATTTATCTGTTTTGTGAAAGATCTGTTGCATAAACCATTATCTGTCTATAAGCAACGCATGTATTACGATTTCTTTTGCATTCATTATCAGGTAAAACAAATCTTTAAATTAGTCATTAGTTGTATCCTTTTACAGCCCTTTTTTCATTTAAAAAATTTGTTTGATGCAAAGTTAACTGTGTAAAATATTAAAATATGTTGTGAATGATGATGGAACAAACTGATGTATGTGCACAATTGAGAAATGGATATTTATGAAGATCAATCGCAGCCCATGTCTCCCAAGGTAAATATTTCAATTAAAAAAAAATCAGCGTAGGCCTAATACAAACATTTTCGAGAAATAAGTAATTTGTACATTTACATAATTGGTAAGGGGAAAAGACATTGTGTAGCTGTGTGTGCACACCATGAGTTCAACTTTCATTTTGTGAACAGTATGTATTTCATTCATTCACCGGACCCAAACATACGTAAATTTCAAATGCACTTGCTCTGTTAACATTTATAGTATAGTAATAATAGCAGTGTAGATCTTATTTGCATTTGAAGTGATATTATAAATCCTGTAAACATATATAGAAGGTAATATTTGGATTTCTCCGGTTCTCTGCACTGGCGTTTTGCACAATCGGAAGTATCTATGCACACACTAGCTAGACCGGAAATCCAAAATGGCGGAGATATGCAACTTGCCCATACTCTTTGCCCATAGTGAGCTCGCGCTGCTTTTGATCCGAGCGGATAAACGGTCCGTGTGGCGCGATTCAAATGAGTCGCGCTGTTTCGTTCAGCTTTTGGCACATAAACATTATATCGAACTCTTCATATCGTTTTATCGAGGAAAATTATATCGCGGTAATTATCGCGTTATCGAATTATC